TAGTAAAAGAAGAGAGATACAAAATATGATCACAGAGCAAGACAGAAAATATGTCTCTAACAGCTTCAATGCCATACTAAGGAGACTCCATTTTAGAATAACAAAAGGGTGGGAGAACATATATATAGGACACAGTCTTCTGACAGTGAAGGGCACTATTTTCTCCCAAATAAAATTCTGTCTAAACAGGCACGTGTATTTCTCATACCCATGGAATAATGACATCATGCTCTTCATTTCTGAAAAATCTCAACCAATAAAATTGCTTATCAGTTCTCAGTGCAATATGCACTTCTTTATAGATTCATTCCTTTCTAACAAAAGCTAAAGAGGAAAATGTGCTGCTATAATTTATTTGTTCATATTTCCTTATCTTCATCAGTTTTTCTTTTTCATTAAGAGTATGGTAAAATCCATTCTGACTCAATGACGAGAAAGTAAACAAAATAGATTTCAAAATGTGGCACTCACAATTTAAATAAAGAAAGGGATATTTGGCTCATAATTTACGGAGGTTTTATTTCATAGTCATCTGGAATTCTACTCCAGCTATCACCCAACCCAGCGTGTGCATGGGACCTTCCCTGCACTCGAGGATTCTACCATACCTAGGGCCTAGGCCCAGTGTGTGTGTGTCCTTCTGTGTGCTTGGTACAACCTATTCCATCAGACAGGCCTACTGTTGAACCATACAACAGAACTCCCTGCAGAGTGGCAAGGGGCAAGACCCACCCAACTAATCCAGGAGAACATCTTGCCAGAGGGGCACACCAGGTTCACTTCCATTGGCTGCAGCAGGAAGAAGCAGAGCACGGCATCCAGACCCAAGGTAGGCCCACTTGGATGAGTTTGAACTTGCTAGATATGGACCTGGTAAGCTGAAACACTTTGCTGGACACAGATTTATGAGAGCAACACTTCTCTTTCTCTCTTGATTGAGAGAAAGGGCAACAGTTAAGCACAGTAAACCAATCTTCCTGAAAGAACCCCATGTACATCGAGAGAGGGTTGATCTGGCAGAACTAAGGGTACTAAAGTACAAATTCCTAATCTAATATCTGCTTAGCTATACAGTCATAATGTTTGCTCTTATGGTCTAAAATACAAACCCATTAGTTACAAGTTTGTCAACTCCTAAATCTCACTACCAATTATTAGTGTTACTAATTATGGTTCTGTATATACAAAATTGTAACTGCCTTAACGACATTACATCTTTTGGGCAATAATATTGGAAGGTGGTAAGGTAATAACTGCACCAAAGTGCTACACCAAAGATCAGATGACAGTGCTATATAAGATGACAGAGAAGAACAAAAATGAATTCTCAGGCCCCGAGCTCACCCAGAAAAAATGAAGGAGACACAATCACAAAAGAAATTGACAATCACACACCCAAAATCTCTGAAAAAAATAGTGTCTGAAGTAAAGAAACTGCAGAAAGGAATAAAGAAAAACAGATCAGAAATAATCGCTGAAGTAAAAAAGAAATGATAATTATAATGAAAGAACTAATAACCACTTCTAAAGAAGAAACTAATAAAAAATAGAGAATAGAAAAATTACAGAATCCTGGAATGAACAATATAGGACAAATATCTAATACATGAAGCAGATTGAAAGAGATATACAGGAAATTTAACTTCAATCATAAGCACGTAAAACTGTCTGAATGAAAGTGAAGACAGAGTTTCAGACCGTGAAGATATGGTTGCAGCTAGTGAAAAGGAAAGAAAAAATTTCTCTTTAGAAGAGCTGTCAGATCGCTGGCTACAAGGCGCACACCAGTTCATTCCCACTCATACTATAGGAGGGCTCCATTTCTGTGTGTTCTCACCAGCATGTGGAAACCTGTGGGCTCACGTTTATGTCATACTGCAGGTAGGGCCTGAAGTTTGCAATGAGCCTCTGGAATATAGGTTACTGGTACTGAATTTAGGGGCATACCAGAAAATTGATCTAATAAAAAGCATTTGAGAGCCAGCCAAATAGCTCAGTGGACTAAAACTCTTGCTTAGAAAGGTGCAGGGACTGGAGTTTGATCCCAGGTGTGCTGTGCTGGACCCACACCTGGGGAGGGCTGAGACGAGTACTGAGACTGGGCGTGGTGGTGCGTGCCTGTAATCCTAGCACTTGGGAGGTTGAAAACAGGAGAATCACTATGAGTTCGATCAGCCTAAGTTGTTCGATAATAACAACAAGCTTGTCTTCTGGATGGTTAAAAACCTAAGTTTGCATACCAAAATTAGAGAAAAAGGAGGGCTGCAAGGAAAGCCAACATTTTGGCCCTAGCCTTCTAAGGTCAATTAAGACTCAGGACATATGAGAACTTGAACTGTAACATCATGTAACTCGGTAGTGTCCCAAATTTTCTGATCAAGGAGATTGTGGGGCCAAAGAGGAAAGTGATCAATGATGCAGAGTGTGCCTAAGGAGAGTCACATGGAGAGCAAACATTCTCTCAGGCTTTCACAGCCATATAGCTGCACTGACAAAGGTTCTACAATCTGAGGTACAGGATCTCAGGATAAATCCTGAGGGCATTTCACTGACCTTATCAGACCAAAAAGCTACAACTCTTATTGCAAAGGTCCTGCTTTATCTTGGTCTTAACCATCCAAAAGGAAAGTATAAAAACAAAATATAAGAAATAAAGCCATGCTGTTATGTTGAGCTGTGGGGGACTCAGGTCAACAATTTCTGACATTGCCAGTTAAGCGGAAGACCCAATACTATTATGGGCTACTGGACTCTTTTAGAATATTTTGCTCAGTTTACACACCTATAATATTTAAATAATGGATCTTAACAAGAAAAGGGTATACAGATGAATGTCCATTTTGTATATGTGTACTCAGGGTGGTTAGCATAGATATATAGTTACATTCTGTTAATGAATAGAATGATTTGTTCTAATGGTGTTTGTAAATAGGATGGCAAGTCCGCATCTTGTACAGCAATTAACCACTAAGAAGAATGTACGCAGTGTGTTAATTATTGAAACTGTCCTACCGATTTAATTTGAAACTGTCTCATTGCTATTCGTTTATCAATAAAATCATGGCCAAAAAAAGATCTCTCAAAAACAACTAGGATGTAGGAAAAAATAATTCAACATATGCAAGATGATGCAAAGATGAACAAGGTAAGACTAATAGGCATCAATGAGAAAGGAGGAGTCAATACAAATGATATAAAAAGAATACGGGCAGAATTAATAGCAAAAACTTCCCAAATATGAGGAAACAATCTGACATTCAGGTAACCAAAGTATATAGAACTCCAAATAACATTAAAGCATTTAAATCCACAGAAATTCAGCACAGGAACAGTATACTAAAAGCCGCTAGAGAAAAGAAACAAATCACTTTTAAAGGAAAACCCATCAGAATACTGGCATAGATTTTTCTTCACAAACCATCATGTCAAGAAGACAATGGAAAAAGAACTTCAAGTCTTTCAAGAAAATAAATTCAATCCCAGACAAATATACCTGAAGTACTCTCTTTCAAGTTTGATGGAGAAGTGAAATACTTCCTTGACAAAGAGAACTAAAGAATTTAATAATGACAAAGCCAACCCTGCACATACTAGTACAAGTTATTCTAGAGATGGAACAAAATGGCCACAACTCCATGAATGAGAATGGAAAAAAACCACCAAATAGGGCAAACAATTAAACACAGGAGAAAAAGATGTATACAACGGCAGGTAAATAACATGTCAATCATAAGTTAATACATCTCCATTGTAACCATCAATGTAAATGGACTCGATTAATCAATTAAAAGAAATACAGTGGCAGAACGGATTAGGAAGCAAAATCCAAAAATATTCTCTATACAAGAAACACACTTAACTCATAAAGAAATTCATAGGCTGAAGGTCAAAGGATTGGAAACAATACTACATACCCCAGCACCTCAGAAAAAAGCAGGGGTAGCAATCCTGTTCTCAGACAGTCTCAACCTCAAACCAAGAATGGTCAAATGAAATGAAGGAAACTACTTACTGGTTAGAGGAAAAGTACAAGAAGAAGAGGTAGCAGTCATAAATATGCATCTACTAAACACAGGAGCACCCAACTATATAAGACATTTTATTTTTAGCAAAGACCACAGTAAACAATTTATTGGAATTATTTTGCTAATGATTCATACACATTCAGTATAACTGAATAGAAATAATATTAATTCAAAAATATTCCAAGCCTCAAATTAGTGTCCTTAAGAAACCCAAAAACTTCTTAGTGACTGTTATGTTAATAAATGGAATGTTATCTTTAACAAACCAAAGAAGTTACATGTGTCTCTGTCAACTTCAATATTCAATATTGCTAACAGGTTTTTCTATTTAAAAGCAAATAAAAAGTAAAGTGTTGTAGTTTAGTAATTTCTGTGTTTCTTGTTTCTGTTCTCAAATGCTACAGAAAGATATCTGATGAAAGTAAGTGGAACATCTAGTCTCAAAATTGTTCAAAACCACAAAGGCACTGTATAAGACAAATCCTAATAAACATGAAAAAATCTAATATCTGATACCACAATCTTAACAGGAAACCTTAACATCCCAAGCAGCTAGGTCAAGCAGACAAAAATTTAGCAAAGAATTAGTAGAACTGAAGCAGAGCTTGGAACACATGGACTTAATGGACATATGCAGAGTGTTCCACTCAACCACATCTCTAATACACATTTTTGTCAACTTACATACGACATTTTCTAAAATAGACCACATACTAGTCAGCTCAGAGTTGCTTGTCTCTGACTCAGGGCAGCACAGTCCAGGGGCATAGCAGAGGAGAAATGCTGATGACACAGCAGACAAAAGCAGGGAATGAATGGGGTAAGGGATTTCAGTCCTTCCAGGCAATGCCCCAGTGAAGCACGTCCTCCAACCAATCTTCCCCTCCCAGCATCACATTTAGTTATAAATTCCTCAGTGGAATGATGCCCTAGTATCACAAAGACTTGTTCCAATCACTGCCAAAATCCCACCTAATACTTAACTGGCAGGGGAGATAACATGAGCAAGAAGGTGATTTTTCCCAAAGTGAGGATTACCCATTGTACTTCTGATATACTGACCACTGTATTTTCCATAAGTGAATAATACTCCACTGACTGCATGATTTGTTGTATTGGGGGGTGTTTGTGTTCTCCCCTGGGGGGAAAAATCAACCTATGTGCTCAGGATGCTTTGGAAGGACAGCTGTATATAAGCCACAACTTATATGTAGGTGAGCTCTTTGACAATATAGGGCAAAAACTATAGATTAAAAGATAATCTCTATTGCGATGCTTCAGTATTTAAATAGAGAGATGTAGATGTAGATGTAGATGTAGATGTAGATGTAGATGTAGATGTAGATGTAGATATGTAATCTGAAAACAAATGAAAATCTTGCATGTTAGATGACAAATTGAAAGCTGTATCTGTTATATTTGCCAGGAAATGTTAT